AGTGCCGCGTAGTCCGCGTAGGCAGCACGATAGTAACAGTGTGTACGCGTAGTCTGCTCTGCAGGGAAAACGGCCATCCGCGTAGTTCGCGTAGGCAGTCACTCTTAGTATAAGGACTTTAACCTTAAAAAAAACAATGCTCAAGTGCCCAATAGCCATATACTTACCCGAAACCTATACTATAGCTACTATTATCCCAAATCCATGTAGCTGAATATTGGGTACTTGGAGCGTCTGGGGGTTAGGGTTGGGCAGGATCCCGGATCAAGTCTTATGCACTTCATAAGGTGCTTTCAGCCCTCATCTCAAGTCGGTTCTTCAGAAGCTGCAGGCTTCAGTTGGGCTAAAAGAATTCATTTTCCCAAGTAGGGTCTGCGTCTTGGCACGCCAGGAAAGCACAGTGGCTACCATAGGAAACCCAGTAACCTCAGATCCCCGAAAGGCCCCAAAATACCTACATCACACACAGCTTGGTCTCTGTAGTAGGAACTTTCCCTGTGGTTCCGCTGAATATTGCCTTTTTAGGGGTACGCTGGACCCTCTGGGATAGGAATCCCTGGAACCCCAGGCATGGAGGCCTACATTCAATATGTCTCGTATTCTCTTTCCACATGTTTCTTACTGGTGGTTAGTAGGGAATAAGGGAATATAATCCATATATAAACCCATATTAAATATTGGCTTTTTCCCTACCAATCCCCAGTAAAGTCTTCTGCCACCTGGATGGTGGTTGGACTGCTGGGTCCCGAAAAGATTGCTTTGGGGTTTAGGGTATATAGGGTTTTGGGTTTATAGGGTTTGGAGTTTTGTCATGCCAAGTGGCCAGAGACGGGGTTGGGTAACAGCCTCCAAGTACTTCAGGACGATTGTAACCATGACCCCAACCCGCCCTAAACCATGGGTTTAAGGTCTAGGGTTTGGGGCATTCCAAACATCTAAGTCCCGAGACTCCGTAAAGTTTCTTCGACATTGCCTATGTCAAGTGCAAATTTGGCCGCCAAGACGCGCCAAGAAATCCCACAACTAACTCACCTTCAGCCAAGACCAATGGAATCGACCCAAGGGTTCCTATGTAGTTCATCTTGGGGTCAGTCACGTTTTTCTGGTAAGGGATTGTAATAGACTACCCAAAAGGTAGCTACATCAGGGTCTGAAGCCAAAATCCTAAACACCTAAACCCTAAGCCCTGAACGGTAGAGTTTGGTGTCGGTATGGCAACCCAGCTCAAGCCCCCGCTGCCCCAGTCGCGCGACCCTAAAACTCCAAAAAAAGATGAACTTACAGGGGTTTAGTAGGGAAGACGGGAATATATTAAATAGGGGTTAGAGAGCGAAGAAGGGAACATATGTATATAGGGAGTATATGGGGGCTATTTAGGGATTGTATTCCCGTATTCCTTACTAACCACCAGTAAGTGATTGTGGGTTTGGGGCTCAACAGTGTTGTTAAGTGTCTTACGTTTTAATATCCACCAACTCCAACAACTCCTGGTTTCTTCCAATTCAAATGTTTTGGAGCCTACGTATATACAAGTAGGTACACAGTCCCAGTGGGAAATCGCTCCGAGACTGAACATGCATCCTGCAATCCAGAGCAGGCAGCAAACGGAAACCTCACGTAATGTAGCAGCCTGAATAATTTTACCAGTATTGTAGTCCTAGTTTCCTACAAATTCAGTCCAGGATACTCCAAATAGCCCGCAACATAATGTTGGTAATTATTTAGGCTTCTAGGGTACGCTTTTGAGGCTAAATACCCATCATGAAAGCCATCAGTCGCGGCCATGATTGCGGGCATTTGTGATACGCGCTACATAAACCATTTTTCCATTCCATTGTCCATTTGTTCCATGGATTCTCCATTATTGCGGGTACTCGGGAGGTTCGTATCACTTCCAGGTGCGGAGGGCGCGCCTGGCCTTTTGCCTACGCACAGCTGCTGAAGGCCTGTATGAGACTATGAAGCCAAGGTTGGGTTTTTGAGAAGCAGACTACACCCTAAGCCCTGTAAGCCCCTATACCCAAAACCCTATAAACCCCTACACCCAAAACCCTATAAACCTCTAGTCTATACCCTAAACCCTATGTACTCTTATACCCTTAGCCCTATAAACCCCTATACCCTAAACCCTGTAGTGGGGTTCTGGTTAACCCAGCTCCTAGAATTACACGGTAACATTCCCTAAGGGTCCAAGGACCCAAATAATAAGGGTTGAGGGCTCAAATACCAATAATATTACAGTATTTGGGCCCTCAAACCCTATTATTTGGGTCCTTGGACCCTTAGGGATTAGGACCCTATTGGAGACCCTGAACCTTCCTAAGCCGTTTCGGGTTTGGGCTTCAAATCCTACCAGGACCCCCTAAACCCTTGGACAGGGTTCATGTAGGTACTATTTGCGGGGACTTAGGCTCTCAAGAGGACAAGTTTTCTTAGATTTTGAAAAGATTTGGTGTTTACGCTCTGTTTGCGTGCTAGGTTTTTGTTTAGGTA